CTACCTCCGTGGCTCGTGGCCCGAGCCCGCTCCACATGTTTAAAAGTGGTCACCGTAACAGTATCCTGCAGCTTTTGGTTTGGCATGGGGTTTCTTCACATGACGACAATAGTAGACGGAATCTGGAAAGAACGTCCTGCGTCCGGGACGATTATGTACAAACACTGCTGGCCCATGTCTGGGCATAACCCTGCAGCATTCTGTCCTCAAATCTTTAAAGCTGTAAGGACCTGAACCACTAGCTGGCACCAATCATATCTTGGATGCCGCATTTGGAACTTCCCGGCATGTTGAGAAGTACATGAGACCACACTGAGATGACAACAAACAGCGTGGCAGAACCAATTAGGCCATGGCTTCGCCCCTCAGCTTCGGGGTTACGAAGGCATCCTCCTGGCGGAAGAGCCTCAAGTGGAAGTTTGCTACAGTTGTTTGAACTTCAGCTGACATGCAGTGTCAGAATGCATGACGATTTTCGGCAAATGCTTGAACTAAGTGTGGGTCGATACGCTCTCTCCCTCTTGTCCTGAGCAGGTCATATGCCAAGCTGCTGCAAAACTGACACCGCGCCGACCACCAGCAGGGCCTGTTACAGACTGGTGGAACTGGCCAGTCAACGGAGCAGAACTGTGTCACAACTGCGATGACGTTTTCTCTACGAGCCTGCCTTGGACAGCAGCGAGGTGCGAGCCATTATCGCTCTTTGGTTGGGAGGTAGGGCGTGAACAAGCAGATCCAGCTGGAAGCCGCAGCAGCTGCTGAGTGGTCATAACGATGATGATAGTGACTCTGATAGTGATAGACCTATTTAGTAAACGTCTCGCGATAGTTCCAATTAAAAATCAGCTACCAGACGATGTTTTAGCTGGGCTAATAGAAGGTATACACAAAATGGGCGAAAAGCCCGAGCCCATTTATCCCGATGACGAGGGTAGTTTAAACAGTAATGTTGACAAAATACATAGAAGAACTGGGTATGGACATGTATGGAAAAACACAGAACCCGAACACATCCGGCGTCAGTGGAGAGAGCCATTAGAACTGTCGAAGACATGGCATTTAACAGAACTGAAGCCGACGAAAAGAAAGGTGGAGAGAGTATTCAAAACAAAACAATTCGAGTGATAGTTCCTATACGACTGATGATATTGAAACTGATCCGGTACAAAAACATTAACAATATGAATGGTCGTGGCTATTCGCACCATGAGTTGCTCAAGGTTTAGGTTTCTGTGGGTCACAGCGGTTGGTGGTCATAACGGTGTGTGTCACAGCGGTGTCGGTGTGACACACTGCCTCGTGTGTCACAGCTCTGTCTGTCTTGGGGAATTCGTTTGGCTTTGTATTGGATTTGTTGTGGTCTTTCTTTCTGGTTTCCGGCAATCCCCTCGTGGAAACATTGAGAGTCATCTTCTGTATGCCGGTACTGTAACAACCATCATTTAGCTGTGGTCAGAAGGGCCTGATGAGCCTGACATCATTGGAGAAGTCCACGGAATCTGGTATCCACATCTGAACCTCCAGCCTTCCAGCTTGAATAGCAATATGCACGCAGAACCGATGGGTGCATGGTGCTGCCAAGGCCTCTTGAACTACTCTAGCGCCCAATAAGCTTCAGGCTGGAAACACGTCAACGAGTGCTGTACAAGTTCAGGCAGCTGCAGTGCATGACTTCAGCCAAACCGACATCTCCACACCGAAGTAAAGCCACATCTTTGCTGAAGGATCGTGGGCTGGAACACCTGAACACGAACTTGATGACATTTCCGGCTGGCGATGTCGAACTTGCTCTGTCCTGCGTGTGCCGGAAATTTTGTATTTCGAGCTGTCATGACGTGAGCTCCACTAGGTCAGAGTGCATGGAGGGCATTGGGGATGCATCGACCAGTCGCAAGGTCCGGTGATGGTGCGTGGGGGAGGGAACTTTCGGATGTCTTCTGTGGCCTCTGTAAACCTATGTTGCGCAGGTGTTCCGATTTCGGAATATCTTGAAGTGTTTGAGCACGTGGGTTAGGCAAGCTGACACCCCGGAGATAAGAACTTCACAGGCTGCTAAGGGCCCGCCTGCCCACAAGGCCCTTCCGAGACCCCTGGGGGGTTCTGCAGATTCAGGGGTGGGTGCTGGAGGAGTAACCAAGTCGCCCGAAGAAGCTGACGCAAGCCGGTCCCTAATGCAGCGAAGCCCAGAAGTTGGTAAAGGCCAAGGCTTGCACCCAGCATTAGAGACATGTATAGAGTATAGGGCCTATGGCGGTTGTTATCTGTGCAATGCGCCAGGTTCGAAGGCGTAGCGATGCAGGGCTCCAAGGGGAATGACTAAACAAAGGAATTCAAGCGAGCGACGCAGGTTAACAGCAACGTGCTGCTTCAGGCCCTCCAGAAGCGATCACGCCGCACATTCTGCACAGGTCCATTATGCTCGGGGCTCGGGTATTCCGATTCGCAGGATTCAGCCTCCTGTAGCTCGACCCGCAATGGTGCGATCCAAAACAAAATACAAAGGCGCACGCAATTTTCGTCCCGGAGAAAGCACAGACTCGTCCCTACCCATGCTGCATCCACACGATTGTTGCAGGGCGTCTTCCTCCGCCGGAAACAAACCGATAACTGATCCGCATTCAGGGCGGTTGTTCGTGCAGCGTCGAGGGTCTGTACAATGGACTCGGGAGTATGGCATACGGCTTCAAAAACACACCGGGGCCATTCCAGCTCAGAACTTCACGAGCTCCTTCCACTCCTGGGCCGCTGTCGAAACCCCACCGCTGACTTCGTCCGATGATCTCAGCCGCACTTCAACAAGTCCCCCCAAACTCTTCACACTCATGCAGTGGACAGCCCCGGCTTTGGCCCATCACTCAACATCGCCAAACCCAGGCAACCCGGCTCCACTGCACCCATGGGCCTTCAGCAGCTCCTTTGCAGCCTCGAAGTCCTGGGAGGCTCGTCCCCACTCCTTGGAGCCACGAGACGTTGCGGCTGTTGAGCATCCATTTGCTCAACACGGGTGCTAAGTACAGGTTGGGCCACCCACCCCCCTCGAGTCAAGGGTGATAAGCTGATGTTTCCACTGCCACATCCCTACCCCTGCCCACCCCATACAAAAGTCAAGGTTCCTTGTTGCGGCCATCCACACCCACGGTGGAGATCTTCTGCGAGAATTCTCGGGCCTTGTTGTAAGCCGGGGAACCTTCGGCACCAGAGAAGTACACCATGTCCTGCCGAGATGTTGATGCGAGTCGGGGGATTGCCTCGGGCCTACAGTCTGCAATTCCCAAGGCATGTGGCAGTTCTTCTGGTGCCTGGCTCTGCACATCTTCCGCCCTGGATGAGTTGGTAGGGAGTCGCCACGGCTTCTGTCCGACTGCTACACTTGTGTAGCTGCCGTGTCGGAGTTTGATTTCACATTAAGAGGACCGAGATACCAAACATCCACGCTCCATGCGAAATTCACGAAGCCCATGAATTCTGTCACCAGAAACCCAAACCACCTTCGGTTGAAGAGGCCAATCTGCTGCTTCTGGTGTCGGCGCTTTTTCGTTTCACTTCAACAAAGTTTCACTTTGTTCAATGGATCCGTGGGATCTCTCCAGAACCGTGCATCGAACAACACAGGCGTAGCACCTGAGAACAGTTCGCCCTACCCCGAAAGTCGAAAGTGCTTGCTTGCACTTTGAGAAAGGTCCTGCATGCATGACCCCATGCCCCGAAATCGCCACACAGGAAAACCGCCTTGCATTGAACCCAAGGCGCTCCCAAGCCTCAAGCACTGGCGGCGCACCAACACCGTTTACAGCTGCATTGGACCCTGCAGCACACTATATTGCCGTTCGAAGCCATTGAACCCACACCCTCAGCCTCAAGCCTGTCAAGTCTTGATCGCCGCAGACGGGTTACTGGAATTGCCTGAAGCTCTTGCTGCCGGAACAAGGAATCTCTGCCGTTAAGTAAAAACCGGAAACTGTTAAGCCGCATGCCCCTGTAAACCTGGCGTGCCAGGAGGACATGCATCTTGAAGACCTCATCTGCCCCAGCATCTTGAAACCCGTTGTGATACTAGGCCCGTCCTGCTTGAAGCCGGCAGCCTCCTGGAGGTTGGAAGTCAGCTGCTGCGACTGCTTCGTCTTGATGTAAAACTGGCAACGTCGATGGGCTGTCACATGCTTGCTTCGATTGGCAGAACCTAGCTAAAGCCACCCACATGAAGGGAGACAAAATAAGACAAAGCGGAGACAAGGAGTCCAAGCACCTGGGCAAGAGCCAAACCCTTCGGACCCCCCCAAACCATTCTAAATTACTCGAAGCCACCCAGACACCAAGCCAACTGAAGCCCTCCCAAGTCGTTCTTATTTAGTCACAGCCCACCCACACCCCAACACTAAAGACAGTACCACATGAATGTGATTATGTGCACACGTGCACTTTTCTGCGGTTCGGAGTAGGGTTATCGCCTTGTCGCTTGTTGAGGGCATTTTCTTCTTAGGGGCGGAAGTGGAGGTGCCGCGAAGGCATTGCCCGAAATAGTTGCTCCCCGAAGTGTTGCTGTGACTTTTGTCAGGCGGACACCGGACCGGGCAGATGACTAGTGATGAGTGTCCCCCCCTCTCTCGTTCTGACTGACAGGCTACACAGGTCAGGTGCCAGGGCAGCATATGAAGTCAGGTGTTCATTGGCGGTCATGCGACCCTGCTGCACTGGCTCTGAAGATTGCCGAGTATGTGCTCGATGAGCTTACGAAGATAAGTGTGCAGCAGCATGGTACCTGGTACAAGCAAGAGATCGCAAAATGACCTCGTTCATTGTGCAGTATGCTTGCCAAGCCGTATGCAATGCAGTACACCTGCGAGACATCCTGGTTCCACTTGCGTAGAAGGGTAAGAGAATGGACTGCGACAAAAGGAGTCCAAGGTAGGGCTTCAACTGCACAGCACACAGAAATGCACACAAAGCAAGAAGGCATGCTCGATGTTGACTTGATGTGTACGGCGATACAGCCCCAACTCAGTGCAAAGGCACGGCGGTCTTGTCGAAACGCTCGAAGGAATTCGTCAGGGCCTTCTTCCTGCGCGCCACCTGCGAAAGGAGGAACTCAGAGTCTTCAGGTATCAAGCTGGGATTGCCGGAGCGAAGAGGTTTCAAAGCTATAGCACAGCTAGGGGCTTGGAGCCAACACTTCGAAGAGGAGCCCCTGTAGGTCCCACAGCTCCCTGGTCCACTGGTGCCTCCTGGTCGGTGCGGGCCTTGTAGACGGACTCATCTCCAACCTCGCCTTTGCTCCGTGGACGCTAATCGCTGCACATCCCAGCATCTTCTTGACATTTCGCTTTCGCACTGTTTCGATCAACGCCTTAGTGTTTCGGTGTTCCGGCTGTTGGAATCAATATGCGCCATCACTAACACATGGTGAAAAAGCAAAGTCACTGAACTGCGAGTACGGGTTGACCGGGTTGTCGTTCTGGTTGTAGACATCGGAGACGCCGCCTGCGAGTCGGATTCTTGCCGCTCGTGGAAGGCCTACGCAAGTTACTTAGCAAGTTTTCAGTGCTGCCTATGCCGTGCCTCCTGTCTATCGCACGGGAGAAATCTTATAGACAGAAAGGTTCGGCGTTCAACGAAAATAAGTTTGAATTGTGAGCGCAGTTTCTGTCGCTCGAGCATAGTACTACAAATATATGCAAACTTCAGAAAAAGCCCGAA